CTGAACTAGCTGCAATTAGCACTGTACTGAAGTATATACACAGTTTGAGCAAAATATTTTAGAAAGCTGTTTGCCCATACATAGTAAAACTGAACCTATGTACAGCTGTGACCCAGAAGTTTCACACCTAAGCATATACCCAACACCTCTCATATGCCACATATGTGTACAACACTACTTAAAAAGGTGTTATCTAAATGCAACCCCATGACAAGAAGAAGCTTCTCTGCAGCAAAGGCAGAGTTGAATGAAGAGAGAGCCCACAGCTAGGAGAAGTTTGTAATAACAAGTACTCATCTGACCAAGGATTAATATCTAGAGTATACAAAGAACTCAAAACTAAACAACAAGAAAGCAAATGGCCAGTCAAAGATGAGCTAAGGAACTGGGAGTTCTCAAAAGAAGAAATACAAATGGCCAATAAATATTTTTTTAAAAATGTTCAAAATCCTTACACATCAAGGAAATGCTAATTAAAAACACTTTGAGATTCATCTCACCCCATTCAGAATGGCTATTATAAAGAAAATAAATGGCATACCAGACATGGTGGCACATGTCTTTAGTCCCAACACTTGAGAGGCAGAGGTAGGCAAATCTCTATGAGATCAAGGTCAGCTTGGACTACATAGCAAGTTCCAGGCCAACTAAGGCACAGGGAGACCCTGTCATAAAAGAAAAAAGAAAAGAATGTTAATGCTGGCAAGGATGTAGGGAAAGAAGATTTCTTATTTACCCTAGGTGGGAATGTAAACTGATACAACTACTATGGAAGTAAGTATGAAAGTTTCTCAAAAAACTGAAAATAGAACTACCGTATGATCCAGAAATATTCTGTTATGCAAAATGAAATTCTGAAATTTACATGAAAATGGATAGAACTGGAAAATACTATATTGCGATAACCCAGACTCAAAGACAAATACCACCTGTTCTTTCTCATTTGAGGGTCCTAACTTCTAATTTTTATAGATGTGTACTTATGTGGCAGTGAGTACAAAGGCCAGGAAACTCAAAAGGAGTGAGGGGGGAAATGGAGGCTTTAAAGATAAGGGGTAGGGAAGGTGATTTGAAAGTGGAAGGGGGCGTAATAGGAGTATAAAGGTTTAAGCAGATAGAGGCAGAGAGATGAAGGGTGAAGATGGGAAGGGTCACCTAAAGCTAAGTATGTCTAGCGATGCCATAAAGAAAACTGCCACTTTGTAAGCTAATTAAGTTAAATTTTTAACAACTTCTTCCATGATATGGATATTGATAAAACCCAATGGTCTTTTTCATATATCCCATTTTATTTTTGTTTCTGTATTTGTGTACTCATGTATGCATGTATATTTACTTGTATGTAACTTCATCACATGTGTATGTACCCAGTACCATAGTTAAGATGCTGACAAGTTTCATCACCCCAAATGTCCTTTGTTTTGTTGTTGTAACACTACATCTTCTCTTCACACCTAACCCCTGGAAACCCCTTATTTGTAATTTTTTAAAAAATTTTAAACTACTTATATTACATGTGTATGAGTGTATTGCCTGCATGTCTGTAAGTGCACATGTGTTGTACAGTGCCCATGGGGGTCAGAAGAGGGCATCAGACCTCCTGAAACTGTAGTTATGAATGGTTGTTAGCCACCATGTGGGTGCTGGGAATCAACCTGGATCCTCTGCAAGAACAGCTAGTGCTCCTAACTTCTGAGCCATCCCTCTAGCCCTCCTTATTTCTAACTTCTTATTCAAAAATATTATGTAAATGGGATCATACGTCATTTGAAACCTTATACTAGGCTGTTTTACTTAGCATAATTCTGTGGAGATTCATTCAAGTCATTGCCTATTTTAACATTGCTCAATAGAATCACAGACTGTTCTTAACCATTCATCTGCTGTTGATACATATCAATACATACATGATGATAATCATGCCCAGATTTTCCCACTGTAAGTGAAAGTAGAATAAGATTTGTGTACTGGTTAAATAAATAGATACAAAAACACTAGCACCAGCAGTGTTGTCCAGAGTTTCACCCTAAATATCATTCAGCAGTGAAATACATAATAAAGTTGAAGTAGAGCATCAAAAATAAAAAATAAAATAAAAAATACTCTAGGGGGTTGGAGAGATGGCTCAGTGGTTAAGAGCACTGGCTGTTCTTGCAGAGGACCCTAGTTCAATTCTCAGCACCCACATGGCACCTAACAGCTGTCCATAACACCAGTTCCAGGTGATCCACGCCCTCTTCTGACCTTCCATGGTCACTGCATGTCATGGATGCACTTACATACATGCAGGCAATACACTCATACACATAAGAAATAAAAATAATGAAATACTTTCTAAATACTCTACAGCAAAAAATAAGTGAAATGTTGCTGTAGGTGGCAACATAGATTTAGGAACAAACAATTGAGTGAGAAAAGCTAGATAAAATAGGATATGTAAAGTATCACATTGATTTTTTAAAGTCGAGGTAACCTTTATACTTACAGAAGAGGGAGAAATAGTGGCTGGGCACCAGGAATACAATAGCATCCTATAAAGCTTTGTTTTAACTTTGCAGTTGTTCCAAAGTATTTCATTTTGCTGTGACTAGTGCAGTTTTCCCTGTACATATTATAATATGATAATGAAGTGGCTATTATTTTCTAATTATATTGACACTCTAGCATTTGAAGAAAGAATAGTTACAGCATTGCAGTTTAAAATAAATTACTGGGGGCTGGCAGTAAATTTTAGTGGGTAAAGCACTTACTGCTAAACTTGACAACCTGAGTTCAGTCCCCATACCTACATGGTAGGAAAGGGAACCAACTTCCACATGTTGTCCTCCGACCACCACAAGAGTGGCATGGTCTCTCTCTCTCTCTCTCTCTCTCTCTCTCTCTCTCCCCTCCCTCTCTCTCCTCTCCCTCTTCTTCTCCCTCTCCTTCTCCCTCTCTCTCCTCCCTCTCTCTCTCCTCCCTCTCTCTCCTCTCCCTCTCCTTCTCCCTCTCCTTCTCCCTCTCCCTCTCTCCTGCTCTCCCTCCTCTCCCCTCCCCCCCACTCAAAATTAATTAAAATGTAATAAAAAGTGAAATAAATTTACGAACACCTAGGTTTTGTAATTCTCTGATTATTAGTTTAACTGCAAGGGAGTATTAACTTTTAATCTAAAATGTATGCATTCTCATCTACTTTTCACAATAAGCTTATTTTTTAATGTTTTATTTTTTTATTTTATGAGTATATTACCTGCATGTATGTGAGTGCACCCATGTCGTGCAATACTGTAGAGGTCAGAAGAGGGCTTTGGATTCCTCCGGAACTGGAGTTAAGGGTGGTTCGTAGCCGCTATGTGGGTTCTGGGAATCAAAACTGAGTCCTCTGCAAGAGCAGTCAGTGCCCTTAACCACTGAGCCATCTCTCCAGGCCCACACAGTAAGCTTATTATAGTCACAAAACATATGATACTGTGCACCTAGAAGATCAGTTGAATCATTAGAATATATATGTATATGTGTGTGTATGTGTGTGTATGTTTATGCTGCCAGACTCCAAATATTTAGCAGAGCCATTAATTGATAGATTAATGCTTATAATACTAGAAGATTCAGGCATACCTGTTTGACAGAGCTTATGTATATTCTTATCTCACCCTGCAAACAAACAAACAAACAAAAAACCCACCAGTTATTTCAAAGAAGTTTCAAGCTTAGTACATTGCAGAGTGCACTGTTTTAGAAAAAATATAAAGTGGTAGTTTGCTAAGACTGCTATAACAAAGAATTACAGACTAGGTGGCTTAAACAATAGAAAGTAATTTTCTCATAATTCTAGAGGCTGGAAGTTCAAGATAAGATGCCAACAGATTTGGTTTCTCCTATGGCCTTTCCCCTTATCTCATAGAAGGCTCCCTCTGCCTGTGTTCTTTTTTTTTTTTTTTCTGTGCAGTTCCCCTTGTGTTTCTTCTTCCTATTAAAATGCCAGTCACCTTGCACTACCCTGACAGCTTTCTTTTTATTTAATCATGATTTCAAATAACTTATCTCCAAATACTTTTATGGCCTGAGTACTGGGCTTTGGACTTCAGCATATGAATGGAGGAAGGGGGATACAATTCAGGCTGGAATAGGTTGCCATCATATTTTTTACATATATGATACTTAAAAACTAAAATAATAAACTGGGGGCATGGTGGTATATACCTTTAATTCCAGCACTTGAGAGGCAGAGGCAGGAGGATCCCTATGGGTTCAAGGCCAGCCTGGCCTACATAGTGTGTTACATGCCATAGTTTACAGGGCTTTACATAGTAAGACCCAAGGGGAGTAGGGAGGAGATTGCTCTTTCCTTCCCCAAGCCAGCAAACTGCAAAGAACTTAGAAAAATTCCTTCATATTAAAGTTACATGTAATTAAGAAATTACATAAAAATAATCATAGGATGAGTTTTAAAATGGTTACTTAATGTTCACCCTAAAATGTCTGAAGTGGAGAATATATATATATATAACAAAAATGGTTAGATTGTCTGGTATTACTGAAGAAAAACATTTTAGTAGGGAAAATCTTCATGAAAGTCAATTTCTCTTATTAGTAGGAATTAAGATTACAAAATGGTTGCCTTTTATCAGTCTCAATAAAGTATTCTGTTTTCCTCTTGCTTGCAGTGCTTCTTCCCTTCCCTCTTCAACTTGCTTGGCGAGACCTATCTTGACCTTGTCCCTGAAACTGATTGGTTCCCCATTGTTCTCCTAGAGACCCTTTGCTTTTTCTTCAGGGTGCTAACTATAATTAAAGTCATTTATAATGGCCTGATTAATATTTGTCCCCTTCACCAAATTTTGTACTTCCTAAGGTACAGTGTCTGTTAACTCTCATTTTCTTGCACTGAGAAAGCATTCAACAAATATTTATAGGTTAATTAAACCAACTGAACATTTCATACTACAACTAAATATTTCATTTGGTTATAATGTTATACCTAGGAAATTGGGCTAACTTCTGTTTGTGTTTCTGTCTAGAATCTGGCAGATCAGATTGCATTTCAAGTTGCTGGTGGATTAACAGCCCTTGAACACATCCTTCAAGCAGTGGCCCCCACCACAAATGTGAACACAGTTTCACGAATTCCTCCTAAGTAAGTATAGTTTTTTAATCTGTCTTTCACGTTTCATTTGTAAGTCCGTTTCTGCCCTATAGTTTCCATATGGGGGAACCACAAGTAAATTATATGTATATTTAGACTTGAATAGCAAGAGCTTCCACCCCCCATTAAGGAGAAAAACAGAGGTGCTTGACTTCATTTTCAAAATTCAAATTGAGCCTAAAAAGCCTTATAAGGAAATCTCTGTGGTATATGACCTCCTCCTAAACGAAGAGGAACCATGAACTCCTGTAATAAGAGTAAGAGAAAGCTAACTTTTGTATATAAAAAGGAGGTAAATCCATTAGCAAAGGCCTGAGCTGGGAAATCTGCACAAGTCCCCATATTCAGGAAGAGCATTCTAAGGCCAAAATGCCGAAGTCTGGCGTCCCAGCCAAATTGCTGAGAACTGAATTGTACTTTGGTCACTAACTGTAAATTGTTCTTTGGCACACAATCCTGTGAAGCATTTGGACCTAATCTCTGCTTTCTTATTCCTCAAATCACTCTGTAGTCTCTAAACCACTTGAGATGCAGCATCATAGAGGATTATTTCAGTATTATAGCCACTGTTGTAGTATGAGCAATTTCTAAGCATTTTATGGAGATTATTATTTAGGGTTTAAATGAGGTTTTGATAAAAGTTAGTCTACACCAGTAAGAAACTTTAAGAATTAGCTAGCACAATTAAACAGACTGTTCCATTTGTCCAATGGATGCAAAGGGAAGAGTAAAAACTTAAAAATGTATCTTCTCGGCCGGGCGTGGTGGCGTACGCCTTTAATCCCAGCACTCGGGAGGCAGAGGCAGATGGATCTCTGTGAGTTCAAGGCCAGCCTGGTCTACATAGTGAGTTCCAGGACAGCTGGGGCTAAAGGGAGACCGTGTCTCAAAAAGACCAAAGAACAAACAAAAAAAAATGTATCTTCTTCCCTGAGAGACATTTTGGTAAGATTCAAAACAAAACAAACAAAAGAAAAAATGTTAGTTTCAGAGTCACACAAAGCTAGGTTCTAAGTTTGCCCCTGCAAGTGCTTAAATCACATTGCATCTGTTTCCTAGCAAGGGGATAGGTTGAAATGATGTATGTGAGAAATCTTTGCAAACTTACAAAGTTTGATAACTTAGGTGAGAGTGTCTCAAGTATGGTCTTGTTGATTTTAAAGTATAGTCTGTTTAATGAGATACATCTAGGTCATACAGACTTCTTGACACGGTTAGCCTGGGTTCCTTTGCTCTACTCACAAAGTAGAGATGAATGAAGGAAAGGGATCTTTCTGAGAGGTAGAAGGTTCCATAGCAGGCAGTTACAGCAGGCATAAAGGCCTTTGCAATCTCCAGGCATTTCTCATCAGAATGGACTTTACTACAAAGTATTTAATACAGAATCAGAGCAGGTTGGCAGGCTTAAGCCAGTGAGTGAAATTTAAAGATGTTCTTTCTCATTTTCTTCCCCACTGCTCTCCTACACAAACTCCTGCCTTGGCCCTGAGAGGTTCATGGTCCCTTGGTACTCCCTTTGGTATTCTGCCTAGATTCTCCCTTTTCATCCCTGATGAATGCTTACTGCACAGTTCTGTGAACCTTCAGTCATCTTAGCTCATGCTATTTCCTGTATTTTGCTTCCTGTGACATTGTATGGTTTTTACCTGTTGGTTCAGGCTATCTTGCATTATTTAATTTTCCTCAATCATAAGCAGAAGACAATTGAGAAGTTTAAGGCACTGTAAACAGTCACCACATTGAAATCTAGAATCCTGTGACTGACTATAAGCCTGATGTATCACGCTGCAGCCTGAGTTCTCTATGTGTGGAGGAAATGCCCCCTCCTCTCTTTCACCACCCTGTCCATCTCAGTTGTCATTTCACCTGGTGGCTCTATAGTCTTTCCTTGTCCAGTAGTTACTGCTAGGTAACTTCCTAAGAATGCATATTTGCTTCCAGATTTCTTTTATTTTTATTTTATGTGCATGCATGTAATTGCTTGCATGTAGGTAAATGTACCCATTGTCATGCAATGCCCACGGGGGTCAGAAGAGGCTGTCAAAGCCCCTGGGACTGGAGTTATGGAAAGTTGTTAAATGCCATATGAGTGCTGGAATTTGAACCCCTGATCTTCTGCAAGAACAACCAGTGTTCTTAACCACTGAGCCCATCTTTCTAGCCCCAAAGATTTCTTTTTTAAAGACAGGATTTATTTTATTTTTATTATTTTTTTATTTTATATATATGTGTGTATTGCCTGCATGTAGGTAAGTGCACCCATGTCATGCAATTCCCATGGAGGACAGAAGCAGCTGTCGAATCCCTTGGAACTGGAGTTACGGACAGTTGTTAGCTGCCATGTGGGTGCTGGGATTCGAACCCGGGTCTTCTGCAAGAACAACCAGTGTTCTTAACCGCTGAGCCATCTCTCCAGCCCCTTATTTTATTTTTTATTTGTGTGTGTGTGTGTGTGTGTGTTTGTGTGTGTGTGCATATATGTATGGGCCCATGTGTGTGGTTATTTATGGAGGCCTGAAGAGGGTATCTGTTGTCCTGGAACTGGAGTAACAGGTGGTTGTGAGCCACTCAGTATGGGAGCTGGAAGTTGAACCCTTGCCCTCTGTAAGAGCAGCAAGCTCTCTTAACCTCTGAGCCATTTCTCCAGCTCCACCCTTGTCCCAAAGATTTCATAAGATGAAATTAAGAATTTTGGGGCTAGGAATGTAATTCAGTTAGTATAGTAGTTGCCCTGGGTTTGAGCTCCAGCACTGCATAAAACTGGAATTGGCAGCACATGCTTATAATCTCAGCACTAGGGAGTAGATCCAGGAGGATCAGAAGTTCAAAGACATCCTTGGCTACATAGTGAATTTGAGGACAGATTGGGCTATATGACACCTTGTCTTACAAGAAGACATTAAGAATTATACCTGCTTTAAAATTTTTCTTTTAAAAATTTTTATTACATTTTATTTGTTTGTGTGTGCACATGTGTATATGTGCAGGCACACATGTACCACAGTGTACATGATGTGGAAGTCAGAGAACAGTTTACAGGAGTTGGTTCTCTTCTTCTACCATATGGGTCCTGAAGATCAAACTCAGGTTGTCAGGCTTAGTGAAGCAAGTGCCTTAACCTGCAGAATCATCTCGCCAGCCCATTTTTAAATTTGTCAAACCTTTCCAAATATTGGATGTAGACCAGGCTAGCCTCAAACTCACAGAAACCCTTTGCCTCCACCTTCCAAATGTTGAGCATATGCCACCACACCCAGCTAGTTTCTTTTTCTTTAATTTTGTGCCTGACTTGAAGTTGCCCCACAGAACATGTGTCTTCATCTAATGATTCAAAAAATAACAAATCAGGGGCTGGAGAGATGGCTCAGCAGTTAAGAACACTGGTTGTTCATGCAGAAGACCCGGGTTCGAATCCCAGCACCCACATGGCAGCTAACAACTGTCTGTAACTCCAGTCCCAGGGGATCCGACAGCCTCTTCTGACCTCTTCGGGCATTGCATGACATGGGTACACTTACCTACATGCAGGCAATACACACATACACATAAAATAAAAAAATAATAAAATTATTTTAAAAAAACAACAAACCGCCGGGCATGGTGGTGCATGCCTATAGTCCCAGCACTTGGGAGGCAGAGGCAGGTGGATCTCTGTGAGTTCAAGGTCAGCCTGGTCTATACAGTGAGTTCCAGGACAGCTGGGACTTACAGGGAGACCCTGCTTCAAAAAGATCAAAAAAATAAAAAAATAATAACAACAAACCAATCATAGAATAGTTCAGTTTAGCTTTTTATTATGTTACTATGTTGTTGGATACTCTGTTTGTTGTGTTGTTCTCTCCCCAATTAGATTGTAATAGAGTTCTAGTATGTGCATTATTTGTGAGTCTATGACATATTACTCAGTATTGCTGGAATGCATGAATGAATTCTTTTCTCCAAAAGGTGGAAGAAAAGCCATTAAAGAGCACACTGTATCACAGTGACCACACCTAAGTTTCATAGCACCATCTTGATTTTGTCAGCTCTGTTAGCTGGACTTTAGGCAATGGATTTGGAATGTTGGTACCTTTAAATTCTATCTTTAAATTTCTCAGCTGTATATCATAGGTCTGTGACTGCTGCTTACAAAGCTAAAAGGCTGGGACTGTGTTGGTCATTGTCCTTACCACAGTTGAAGAATCTAAGTATACCAATGGGTATAAGATTGTCCCATTTTAGTCTATAAGAAAAATAGATCTAACCCCACTGTTGTGGCTTTATAAAGTATGTCAATTCATATCATTCAAATTATTAAGGGTACTTTTTGTTTCTTTGACATGTATAAATTCATCTCCCTATACTAAATCAGTCCTACTCAGGTAAAGCATTAATCATTGAATATAATAAAATAAACTTAGAATGACATGAAGTAGATCTTCTCTCTAGGAAGAGAATTTAGAACAAGGTATCACAAACTGATTCTCCAAAGTAAAAGAAAACTTTTGATTTTGTTCAAGTTTCATTTCTGTTGCTGTGATATCCTGACAAATGGCCACTTAAGAGAGAAAAGGGTTATTTTAGCTCACAATTCAAGATTATAGTCTCATTGTGGGGAAGTCACAGAGGCAGGAGCTTGAGATAGCTAGTCACACTACATCACAGTCAAGAGCAAAGAGAATTGAACGTGTTCTTGCTCGCTTCCTCGCTTTGCTCAGCTGGATTTCTCCTCTCTTTACACAGTGGGCTAGGAAATGACACCTGCCACACATGGGACTGTGTCTTCCCACGTAAATACTTAAGACAGTTCCCCACAGACATACCCACAGATGAACCCAGTGTAGACGATCCCTCATTGAGTCTCTTCCCAGGTGATTCTTGTTGTGTCAAGTTGACAATTAAAGCTAATAATCTGAGATATTAAACAATTTATTCAGTTGGCAATATTGCATCTAGTTGCTCTTCAAAGAACTGTGGTAGATACTCTGCATGTGTTAGTACTTTGTTTACTTTCATAATCACCAGCACCCACATGTGTGGGCCACTGACAGATTAAGGTTAAGAACACTCATGTTTGGGATGGAGAGCTAGGATAGCCTTTGGAAAGAGTATTTGTTCTTTACAGATGGCAGAAGAATGTTCAAAATGCCTCTTGGTTTTTGAGATTTTTGTCTTCAGAGCCTTCTGTTACATCCTATTGGGCTTGTACAGCAGTTGATACAGCATCTTATAGTGGAGGAGAGGTATTCCGTTGTTGTGCAGAAGTGGGTAAAAGCCCTAGGGCTTCCAGTCCTGATACCCAAGGTAACTATTTCTAGGAGTTCTCTCTCAGGCCTAGGAATGGGATTGAAGTAGACACTGTACCTTTGGAGCTTATAGTCATGGAAAATGAGATGTAGTAAACTCTAAATATCACTAGTATTGGCCTGCTGTGTTTACAAAACAGCTACCCTAGATGTGTACATAAGACTTCATAAAAAAAATCTTTGCTGAATATCCAAACCTATAAATTTAGTTTCCTGTGCTTAGGTGCCTGGCCTTGTGTCCTTGCTTCCTGTCTCTTAACTCACAAGGCTGTTTGTGTACTGTTAAATCTTTTCCTCAGTCTTCAACATACAGTGCAGTCCAGACTTCCCAGTTTTTACTAAGAGCTTTTTTCCCTATTACCTTTTTTCTTTTTTAAATTACTATATTTATTTATTGGGGGTGGGATATACATATGCCATCACATGAATGTGGATGCCAGAGTACATTGCAGTAGTCAGTTCTCTCCTGCCAGCATGTGGGTCCCATGGATTGAACTCAGGTCATCAGATTTAGTAGCATGAGCCTTTTCTGCTGAGCCATCTCACTAGCCCTCATATTCGTACCATTCCATATCACTTCAACTCCCTTTTTATTGTGCGTTTGTTTGGTTTTTAGGGTATACTTTATACCGTATTATGCTTCCTTCAATGGCCATAGCCAGTTAATCTCTAAGAAAGGACATTTGACTCAGGAGCAACCAATCTATAGGCCAGCCAGTAATATAGATTTTATAATCCAGCACAAAATGTTAAACTGAGCCAGTAAAATTTCTCTCTCAGAAATTTGCAGTTGAGAAATTGTAAAGCTTCAAGTCATTTTTTTCCTTGGGTATTTGAATTTGAAAGAACAGGAATATTAAACTGATAAGAACAGATACTACACTTGATCTTAGCCAAAAAGCCGAGAAATAAGAAGGGTATTACTAAAGGAGAAATGGGGAAAATGGGGGCACTTTAAATGGGGAAACCATGGTAGAAGGGTTAGACAATGTGAGAGATAAATAATGCCTAGCTAGTTAAAAAAAAAAAAAAAAACAACAACAGAGGGACCCATATTAGTCCAACAACCTACTGACAAATTATACATACAACTAGCTCAAGGAACATAATATATGTCTTGGCAAGGTTGATCTGAGAACCCTTTGGTCTTTGCCCAAGCTTTATCTACATAGCACATGGTAATTAAAAGTACCAGACTGGTGGAACTAACCTTCTTGGATGTTTAACAGACATACTTTGAGGCCTATACTAATTTGGTCACAGAAACATAAAGGACAGTTTTTGCTCCTTACCCTCCAAGGTCGACTAAGTCCCAGGGGACTGTGAGCGTCTCTCAAAATGTCCTATAACTGTGGTGAGTCACCTGTTCTCTTGATCAAAGAGGTCATAGAGACCTCACCAGATGGACTTGAACCAATGTCCAGTCTACAAAGAGGATTCAACACAGAGGAAACATTTCCTCCATGCTTCCAAGGGAAGCCAGCCACGGTCGAGCAGGACCTTTGACTTATCTTCACATAGATGGAGCTGGTTTTTTTTAGAGAGAGAGAGAGAGAGAGAGAGAGAGAGAGAGAGACCCAGTGTCCATCTGTTCTGCATGTGGGCATACATATACTCCCACACATATGTACATATGCATCCCCCCCCCCAAGCACATATTCACAAACACAGGATCAACTGTATGGTCTTAAACACCCAAAAGGAAAGTATAACCAAAGATTGAGGGGATCAATATAATTCTTTAAGAGTCTATGTGTATAGGAGGGCTCCTGGGGACCTTGAGAATGAACTGGGTCTGTCTGGATGCAAGAGATCAGGAAGCAGTGGTGGCCCTGGGCTGAGAGGTCAGCCCCAGCATCCAGGAAAGAGGTTGGCAGGTCGTGCAACCCAGGGAAGTAGAGGGTGGTGAGGGCTGGTTGAAGAAGAGCTGATCTTCCTAAAGCAAGGAGCTCTAGATAGACTGACCAGACTCCGTGGATCAACAAGCACTGTGGAATAGCTGGAGGCATTGACAACACAGTGGACAGTAACAGGGATGACAGAGTATATGGGCTCCAGTGGGGAGAGGGGGACTATGGGAGGGTGCCATTTGGGATGTGGGTATGTAGGTGAATAAGATTGTGCCATTTGGGATGTGGGTATATAGGTGAATAAGAGTTTTTCTGTATGAAACAGTATATTTTTTAATGAAATGGAGATCTTTTTTTAAAGATTAAAACCTCATTCAATTTTATGTCTTATTGGGTTTATACTGAGTACAATATTGTATAACTGTATTAATTCAACTGTGAACCTAAAAATTTACAGCCAATTTTTAAAGAGATACATCTTTGCTCTGGAAATTATTTACTATGTCAAAGCTGTTGTAATGAAATGCTTCTTCTAATGTGGTTATTAAATAAATAATGTTAAAAAAAAAAGAAAGCAGGAATAGTAACTTCTGGGATGGCCGTTATAGGGCTCTGTATACTCTAGCTTAACAGGACTATGGGAAATCTGTTTGAAGCACATGCACACCATGAGAGAGAAGGAGGCTGGAAACGATATTGCGTCCATCCCCCAGTACCAGCATTGCTTTGTCTTCCTGAACTCTAACAGGTTTGGTTCCTTCTGAATATGTGTGTAAGCTCCTGATACCTTTATGCTTTTTTTTTTTTTTTTTTTTTTTTTTTTTTTGGTCTTTTTGAGACAGGGTCTCCCTGTAGCCCCAGCTGTCCTGGAACTCACTATCTAGACCAGGCTGGCCTCAAACTCACAGAGATCCACCTGCTTCTGCCTCCAGCATGCTGGGATTAAAGGCATGAGCCACCATGCCCAGCTGTTTTCAAAACTCTTTCATTTAAAGGAAGAATGAATCAATGTCCATTTCTGAAAGTAGGAGTGAAGAGAAAGGTCATTCTAGGGAGCATTTGAACACTCAGTGAGCACCAACAGCAAGGTTGTACTGGCTGAGCTGCCAAAACTACTACTAAAGATTGCTCTTATACTTGATAAAATGAAATTACACCAGAAGGTTTGGAAAATTTATATGGAAATGACATACATTAAGCTTGCTGTCCCTGAATCCTAAGGTAAATACACTTAAAAGAGACATAGCTTCAAAAAAGTGACACACCTTCAAAGTACAAACCAAATATAAGTTCTATAAGGGCAGACAACAATACTAGTCATATTTTTATAACCCTCAAGATTCTTGGTGGCCTTTGGGTTCCTCATCATTAACTTTAGAATTAGTACTTAATTTGAATCCCAGTAGTATTTTTTTTTGTATTTATAAGAACTGAAAAGTCTATGTCCTTAAACTTTGCTGTCTGGAACTTGTTCATAGTAGACCATATCATAGCCCATCTTCTCAATAAAGAGCTAGTGTTTTCATGAGAAAATCATTTCACCAACTATTTTTCTGACATTAGAAGCTAATTGCCTAATCTGAAGGTGAGGTTAAGGTATTTAAGAACATGAGATGCTCAAAGGACAGTCACCCACATATGTACACCTTTCTTACTCTCTCCACCCTCCTCAAATCCTAGCAGCATAATTCATCTTTGAACTTTAGTCCAGAAGCTATAACATAAAGCTCTTTTACATATTTTAAAGTTGATAATGTCTTTATCATTAGATTTGGCTGTAACTTCAACTACTAGGAAATAGATATCATATTTTAAAAGACAAATGATCCTTTGTTAAGTCATTTTACAGTGATTGATAGAAGAAATAAAGTAATTGGTTTTTATCATTTTAGAGCAGGGATTTTTGGAATTGCAGTTCTGTTCCTCTCAAGGAAACTAAGCAGTGCCTCCATATCACTCATCTACCCTCAAACACAGCATATTCTAACAGTAGAGGCAGGTTTTCAAAGCATTGTGTGGTCTCTTACTCCTCTCTCTCACTGAAAAGTAATGTACAACTTCATGCCTGGTGATGTGGCTGTTTAGTTGTGCCAAAACTACTACTAAAGATTGCTCTTATACTTGATAAAATGAAATTACACCAGAAGGTATTGGATTCATATCTTCTGATAAGAGCAGCCATGTTGAGACTTCTGTATAACCACATCTACATTAAGGCATTTGCTTTCTATGTAGAACTGTCACATAATACATTTATTTAATAACCACAAACTCCGTCACGTGTTTACTAAATTATCATTTTATATAAATGAAGAAACTGAATTAAAAGACTTTTTTCTCCATTGTCAGATTAGCTGAGCTAATCTTACATATTCTCCTCTCTATGCCTTTATGCCTGCTTAGTATCACCAAAGAAAAGTATTACCAAATCTGTAAGTACTTGTTCAATTTCTTCCATATGTGTGAATTTTGCCATCAAAGACCTTATATCACTGTAGGGAAGAATACTTTCTGTACTATACTATACAACAAAACCAAATAAAGGACTATGTAATTAAAAGTTTTAGTATATGAGAACCCTTGGTTAGATCTTTTACAAAGTTGATATTTACAAAATGATGTATAAAATATGTATACTCTTGTATGAAACTTCCATTATTTTAATAAAATTAGAATATCATTTTATTATTGTTTAAAAAATACTTTCATTATTCCTGTAAGTTGCAGAGGGCTTGTTACTGTGTTTAGATTTTACCTTTTGTCAGGGGAGTCATTATTTGATCGATCGATCGATCGATTGATTGATTGATTGACTGGTTTTGGCTTAGGCTTTTTGTAGTTGGGTATGAGTATGGGAGATGATCTGTGAAATCTCTTTTTCTTTTTCACCTAGCAGGCTAGTAATCAAAGAGTAACTGATACAACAGTGAACCAAGATCACTGGTAATTAGTTGTGTAAGACATAATGTTCAGGGAAGATTTAGCAATGACATTCCAAAAAAAAAGAAGGATAAATACAAGACTTCTGTTTCTTAAATACCTTTTTAGCTTAAATCTATCAAAGGATTTACTTCTTACAAGTTGCAGGTGTGGATATTTGTAGCGTTGAAACCCATGTACACCTTAGTGTGTCCACTGAATCACAGTTCTTCAGTAAATGTTAATAAAATACTGTTTGCAGTGTGGGTAAAATTTAGACTGTAACCCACTGTTAAACAATTGTACATTTATTATAGACAGAATTATTTTAATAATATCTAATATCTATTTGCAGATCAAGTTTTACTAAAAACAAGTAACTTTCTCCAATAGACAAAAATGTTTTGGAAGCTAATTAGCCAGAGTGATTGATAAATTCACTTCTTCATTTGACATACTGAGGCATTTTGTTTATGTCTTAAAGGCTTTGCAGAGATGGGTATAGTTGACAGCTGCTTGTACCACTAATAAGATTAAAATAAAGAAATTACTTGTGTCAACTTTAATCTACAGTTTAGCGCTGTATGCCACCTGGGGTCTTCTCCAGAGCCAGCATATTTAATTTTGAACTTTAAATTACATAATGAGATCCTATTTAAGAGCATATTTAAAGGCTTTATAATCATAGCAGCCTTATGTTAAATTAATATTAGCAGCAAAAAATAATACTTTAGCACTAAAATTTTAAAATAATGTATTAATTTGGTCTTCAGCCTATATTTTTAATACATTAATATAACACTTTCTAAGTTGGAGGTTAATTTGAGGAAATGCAGAAGGTTTCATTGGGTTGATGCTCAAATGCATATGCTTTCCCATCTAAAATTAGAATATGTCTCTGTGGGATAACAGTTGCCTATTCTGTCTTTTTTATTGTTAGCCTAAGGCTTTAATGGCTGTGTCATCTCTCCAGTATAGCAGTTACCTGTTTTGTTTGTACCAAATTTAGCAGTATAAAACAAAAACCTTTGACATAACATATCTAGTTGAAATTTCCTTAAAACCTTACTCTGAGTCATCATTGTAACTAGAAAAAATATTTTAAAGTTAATTTTGATATCATTGAAATTTTACATTTTATGGT